CTTAGTATTAACCTTTATTATACAACCAAGACGGCTAAAACCAGCCAATCAGAATGCTTTATCGCCTTGTACAATATTTAGTATTGCACCGTTTTCCTTTACATTATTTTTACATTGTCATGGCTTAAAATGAAACTATATTAAAAGCGGAAAACATTTGTCAATAACTTCTGGTCTATTTCAACCGCTGTTGCGATGTTACTTTCTAAAGCTCTTTTTCAATCACCAAGTCGTGTGATAAATCTCTTATTAACCAAAGCCCCTGTGTCTTTTCTGCTCGCTTCGCTCGAACCGTTCTGTCAAGATTTAAGGATCGATATTCTCCCAGTATGGCCCTCGAGCCTGGTTAATACGATATATATTGTTTATTTATCCATTCTGAATCAAAACTACCGATTCCCTACATGAGACATAACGTCCACGTCAACTGGTGCTTAACTTTCTTTTTATTGTATTGGTAGAGGATTTTGATAGATATTTTATTAATACTTAGTTTGTATATTTTATATCTCAGCTTGCAGAACCAGAGAAGCGTCCTATTTCTACGCCAAAGCACGTCGGTGGCCGCGGTTTAATATTGAAATGATACCGGAGCTCATTTTGAGCGACAAAAAAACAGTCAAGAGACTCTCTAATTGAGTTATACAAGTCACATATTAAAGAAATCATCCTGTTTTGCGATCACAGGGACTTAACTAACATTATGAACGAGGTAACCGCGTGTACGTTATTCAGTTGGGAGTCCATAATTGGATCAGAGATATATACCTCGCTAACTGACCTTTTTAAAAGATCATCCTTTATCACTTACCGTAATGCACCGCGCATTTTTTTAGTATGATACATTAGCACCGTTGCCGCTTATAAACCCCCGCTTATAAGCCCCTCCGATTATAGGCCCATCTCCCCGCTAACAAAAAAAAAATATTACGACTTTAAGGCCCCCCCACCCCCCGGATATAAGCCCCCTATACGTTTCCTCACAGAAATGTTGAACTTTTTTTAGACCATATTAATTTTCTTCTTCCGTTTCCATGTTCCAGTTACGTTTAATGTTCTCAGTACCAATATATTGACTGACTTAAAGACCAGAGTAAGTTGATAACGTATATCTTGATATTGCTGCATAAACTTGTTGCTTATCAGCTCATTTCGAAACTTTTTTTTATTCCGCTTATAAGCTCCCCCCTCGAGCCCCGTTTATAAAACCAACCCAAACCTGTATAAGCGGAGTTGTATAAAAAGGTTGTGTAAGCCGCAGTTTACGGTATCATTTATGGAAATACCACTTGAAAGTATGAGCTTTGATCTATTTTGGCATTTTTGTTATCTTAATTTGGTTTTCCAGGCACTGTTTGTTGGAATAAATGACAAAGATTACCGTTGGATAACTTCTGACTTGGTAATGTATTATTTTTATAGTATCTCTTCTTCCTTGCAGTCTAGCTTTTTGTTAGGGACACGCTAAGGGGTCTTTTTACTATAAGGGTTAGGGAGGTGCAGATTAGGACAAGTCAAGCACTGAAATATTCCTTTATAGTAAAACAATCCGTCCACCAATGGGCCACAAAAGTCTGGCCGTAATAGCATCATGAGGGGGGGAGGCAGCGCCCTTTGATCTTGCCGCTTTTCCGCTATACATGATCGCACAAGTAAACAAATCTGTCAATCATTCGAGAAACGTACCTCTACGGGAGTTTGCTGTGGAATTTTCATCCATGGTGTCCCACAATGACCAAAGTTCAGTTAAACAGCGACCGAATCGTTCCCATAGATGTTGAACGTGGAATCGCCAAAATATTTCTGAACGAACACAAACGCACGTCATGTCCACCAATGTCCACCATCGTCCGCCATGTTTATTTTAAACAAACCAGTACTTAGTCTCGCTCGGCCAAATTTCTAAAATGTGCAATCATGTATACTAGGTCCCAGGCCTCGCTGCTAGCCCCCCCCGAGCATCATATATCAAGAGCCACATTGCATAAGGTCGCTGGAGTTATGCGCCGCGGCGTAGGTTAATACGCAAGGTGTTAAGTACGCCGTAAATACGCCGCCACCTCATTATTGCGGCCACTTAATTTATTTTAGCTCAGTCAATTTTTCATCGGAGGCTTACCACCCAGCATTTTCTTACTTTGTCCAATCAATTCGCCTGTACCCAGGCCATGGATACACTTGTGTGGAGAGAGGCACTTCGTGAAAGTAAGGTGTCTTGCACAAAATATAACACGAAGACAAACTAAGGCTCAAATCACAAGCATCTTCCTATCATTCTTCTCAGTGAAATTCCCGGGGGGGGGGGGGGTACTCCCTATAATGGACTATACGGGGAGGCTCCGCCCGAAAGGGGTCCTTTTTTAGGCTCGAGGTATGTGAAAGGGTAGGGATTTCACGAGTTGAAGTATATGAAAGGGTAGGGATTTCACGAGTAAATGATATTATTGTTTGGTTAACATCTCTACCGTAATGCTTGATGATTTCTGGTGATATATATTGTTCATTAAGTTCATTACAAGGATATAGAAAAGGGATGCAGTGCTTCTACTGTAGGTATGTGAAAGGGGTACCATTTTCATAATTTCTATGGAAGGTATATGAAAGGGGTACCTTTTCTGTGATAAATGGTATATGAAAGGGGAAGGGTTGGACCTCTGGGCGGAGCCTTCCAGTATAAAACTTTTTTGAGTACCCCCCCGGGGTGAAATCACCAATGCCTGCTTTACAAAAAGGTCTTGACTTTAAGGCAGGTGACAAGGATTGGATAAAAGCTTACTATACATTCACAGGAGGCCATTACCCTCCTGACATTCGATGCTATATCCTTATACAGAAATACAGTATGTGTATGATTCCGGAGGTCTACAAATGTGTAGCACGTGCATTATAAGTCTCGCACTGCGGTTTTTCAAATCACGCATAACAACTCGGAATTTTGGGAACTCGGAATTTTTTTACCCGAGTAGCTCAGTGTCATTGACTGAATAATATCTTTCTCACGCATAACATTGTTTTTGGTCACGCGCATAACACCTCGCGCTACGTTGACGAAGGCTTAAGAACTGCATTTGGCATTTGGCGAATTGTCTTTACAACAAAAAAGAGTCAGTGTCAAACCTCTTCTACACATTTGAACAATGTCAACTCCTGACTACAGCTACTCCATATTTAAAGTATACAGCTGTTTCGAGAAACGTTGTCGGAAAAAGCGCACGCGACAATCCCGAAAGTAATCTGGGATATGATCAGCAAGGTACATTCCTGACACTGTAGCTGTCGAACCTACTTTTGTTGCTTTCTTTTAGTACTCGCAAACACACGTCCATGGCGTCTCGTGCCATTTTCTCAGATTTCCCTGAAATGCTGAAGTCAAGGAACCGTGAACTTAAAACTACCCACAATACCTTTCGGGATTGTCGCGTGCGCTTTTTTCCGACAACCTTTCTCGAAACAGCTGTATGTGTACATGTTCGACTGTATTCCGTTGCTTGTTGAATCTAATTAGATGCCTTATTACAACCTAGCAGTAATGCTTCTCTTTATTCCTAACAGGAGGTTGCAGGCCCTAACAAGACATATCCCTCTATTCTTGGCATGTTGGGACTCACGCTTCACGTTGGTGACGAGGAGTTAGCCAAGATCTTGGAAAACATGTGAACAACAGAAAAGGAGTCAAACATTCCCTGGTGAGAAATTGTCTCCTTTCTCTGTATTATAAGGGTCTTATGTATCTTAATACACGCTTACTATGGCGGCGACTTGGTTAACGTGAATCAATGAAGAAATATTCTCTATTCGAATAAGCCACCATGATGGCTTTTCTATTTAATGCAAATTACCACGTGATTTCTGAGGGGGTCGGGAGATTTTCACCAGTTTCTTTGTCTACGGTTGAACGTTTTCACAGGCAAAGCATGCTTACAGCATTATAGTGCATAATGCCCGGGGGGGGGGGTACTCCCTATAATGGACTATACGGGGAGGCTCCGCCCGAAAGGGGTCCTTTTTTAGGCTCGAGGTATGTGAAAGGGTAGGGATTTCACGAGTTGAAGTATATGAAAGGGTAGGGATTTCACGAGTAAATGATATTATTGTTTGGTTAACATCTCTACTTGTAATGCTTGATGATTTCTGGTGATATATATTGTTCATTAAGTTCATTACAAGGGTATAGAAAAGGGATGCAGTGCTTCTACTGTAGGTATGTGAAAGGGGTACCATTTTCATAATTTCTATGGAAGGTATATGAAAGGGGTACCATTTTCTATGGAAGGTATATGAAAGGGGTACCTTTTCTGTGAAAAATGGTATATGAAAGGGTAAGGGGCTGGACCTCTGGGCGGAGCCTCCCCGTATAAAACCTTTTTGAGTACCCCCCCCCCCCCCCCCCGGGGACATAATGCACATCAATATGAGTAGTTTTAACGCTTCTGTAAAAATAAACGGCCAGCGTAGTTAACAAGTCAGAATATAGAGCAATCATTCCGAACTAATAATAATTTCTATCATAGTTTTTAATTAGTCGACTCTTAGACATGATTTTGGCGCAGATACGTCAATATTAGGACGAGCCGATTTTCCGAGAATTGTCTTTCTTTCAATGTTTGTACCCTGCAGACCACATGGCTAATTAACAATTATTCGCCGAAGGCGAAGTGAATATTCACCAATATTTACGAGCCTGAGGCGAATAATTGTTTTATAATATACAAATCCCAGGAAACGGTAGAATTTCTCCGAGGAAAATAGAAAAAACCCGAAAATGTTCCGCCATTTTTTGCTCGAGACAAAAAAAAATTAAACTTCACGGTATTTCCAAATAAGGTAGAGAGGGTATATTGCCTCTGAGACCATGAGTAGGGAACCAATCAAATTGCTTGAAAATGCATTATCCTCTGGTTAGTATATTATAATTTGTATTATAACAGGAAAGCCAACATGGCGACTATCGTGAATAAGGTCTATTACTCAGAAACGCTGTATGGCCTTGCTCACCACGAGTCTCCCATAGCTCAGTGGTCAGAGCATCCAACCGGTACCAGGCAGGTCATGGGTTCCACTCCCGTTGTGGACTTCCGTTGGGTTTCTTTTCTGAGTAATTCGACTTGAGAACATTTCTTCATTTATGATTAAGATGCCTGCTGTAGTATGCACAGCCTCATTCTTCCATTCTTAAACTAACTAAACTAAACTAATTCACTAACAGTGAACCCTACCCACAGGCCATGTATGCATCGGTGCATGACGCAGCTCTCGTTGTGGGAACGGCGATACAAAATTTAATGAACAGTGACGAGGGTAAGGAGACGATAGATTCACATTTCACTAACAGTAACTGCCCTTTACGAAGTACATCAACACATCAATGGGGACTGGGTTGGAAGCTACTGCAGCAGATTAGAAAGGTAAACCCAATGCATGTGCTATATGTTAAGGTCAAAGGCGAGTGGCTTATCAGGCCGGCGCTTACATAGCATGAAGCGACTAGGAGTATCGCTACTTCCCTTGGATGGGATGCTAGTCCATCGCAGGTTACCCCCCAGCATTTTTGTCAGGTTGCCATAACAATCCTTTCGTTTGCTTATCTCTATTTTTCGATGTGTGATCTGATTGGTCCAATGATTTCCCCCGATCTGAATATATGTGTCTTCGCGCATTCAAGAGAAATGATTTTAATAGCTGGAGTTACCTGAATATTCAAGTCAGTGTTTGAACCATTGTCTGTGTCGAGAGAACATTTTTCATATTGAAAAATATACCTCAGCGCGAAATGCATACATGATCTTGAGCCGTTTTAAAGACAAACTTTCAGTATTCCCTCGTTCGTTCGTTCGTTCGTTCGTTCGTTCGTTCGTTCGTTCGTTCGTTCGTTCGTCGATCGCTCGATTCGATCGATCGATCGCTCGATCGATCTATCGATCGCTTGCCCCCTATTCAAAACCTTGTCGACAGGATTTCACAAGGGAGTCTAACGATCTGCATCCTTCTGTGTTATAGTGGTCCACACGCGATGTACCATCTGTCATATACCTATAACAATGTAAATCATATTACAAGATCATTCCTCAGTTCTTCGATGGTTTTGTGAAATATATGACTGCGATACAAGCCTATTCATGGGTTTCTTTGATTAATGTTCTGTGTATATGTTCATTGAAATCTATTTGAAGGTGAAATTTCAAGGTCTAACCGGTGAGGTACAATTCAACTTGGTTACGGGTGAGCGACGAGTTCACAACGGGCTGGACATTGTAAACGTTCTTCGAAACAACGTAAAAAAGGTTTGTAAGTAAAGATGCACTAATATAATTTTCCAATGACTAATCCTTCGGAGTACAGGTGGGGGTAGGAGAGGGGTGGGAGGGGGGGGGGGGGGGTGGCACACAAGAAACCGACGGATGAATCCATCCATCAGTAAGTCAATCAATGAATCAATGAATCAAATTTATCCTGAGAGGACGGCTAAGGAAATCCATCCATCCATCCCATCCATCCATACATCAAGCGATCGATCGATCGATCAATCAATCAATCAATCAATCAAAACAAATTTGCCCTGAGACTCTGATAGGACGGCTAAGGAATGTACCAATATATTTTTTTCAGATCGGCTCATGGCAACCAGAACCTGGAATGAAAGACCATCGTGTCTCGTTTAAACAGCGAACACCCCAGGTGGGTGGGGGACTTTGCTGAATTCGTCAAGTGCCTCAATCCGGGGGGTCCTCGGTTCCACGAGAACGAAACCATCCCAGTGTTGAAAGTTACAACTGTTTTGGTAAGGAATGTCCAATATCAAATATACTTTCTCAAAATGTCATTAATATAATTCATCATCAAGTTAAAACAAAAAGAACTCTTAACCGTGACGGTGGTTTGAATATTGATCCTAATTAGCATATATTTTTTACTATTTTATTTCTCCGTTTACTTCTTAGTCTTAGTTTTCGATTGAGAAGATGTATCAAACACTCGAGACACTGACGGTATTTCATCGAATTTCCAAACACCTCGATTTTCGTCAAAAATACTCCGCTGCGCATCGTTTTTTTCAACTCTCTTCTTGGTGTTTGGAAATCGATCGGATGAACACTGTCTCTTGTGCATGTTTGATATTTTACATCATCAAACTCAACATATCAGGTGATCTTTGGCAATCTCAAGTGATTTCACACAAACGTTTTGAGTGTTCCGACATCCCAGCTGGTTTATTTCGCTGGTAATCCCTTTGAAATAAGGGTTACAGCTCTATTAGAGCGGACAGCTCTACTTACGGCCGCCTTGACAAAAACCCCGTTTGAACTCTAGCTCATACAAACTATGTATTTACACATTCCCGTAAGCGGCCAGTTTCAGTTTCGGACACTTTCTGCTTCCCGAGGCTGTCCGCTTACGGGAGCTTCGACTGCATAATATATTAGACATTGCGGTTCAGAAAAAAATGGAAAATGTTTGTATAAAAATATAGAACTCAAATCCCAAAGGCGAGGGAAAAAGCGAGGGAAATACACCAGTTTGGCCGTCGTGCATTTTTCTTTTGTTTCTTTTGCTTTTACGAAGTGACTGCATAATTGACCCGAAGGTCACCCGAGGAGTTCCGAAGATTTTCGAACGTTATCGAGCGATCAGAAAGAAACTATTTCACATGCAGAAAAGCTCACAGAGTTTATATCAGTTGGTGTTCATTTGATTTCTTACTAGGAGCCGCCGTTTGTCGAGAAAGTAAACGAGTCTGTGCCATTACCAGCTAGCGGGAGAATTCCTAAACAGCTTCTTCGAGGATTCTGTATCGATTTGATTGAAGAATTGTCCAAAGAAGCAAACTTCAAATATGAGATTTATTTGCATACGGAGTACGGAGGAATGGTGGACGAGCTGACAAAGAAGGTAATAATAACATTATTATTTTTTTAGCCAAGGGGCATTCATCACAGAAATGGTTTACAGAATGGCCCTCGATAAAAATTATAAGATAAATGAGTAAAAATAAAGTAACAATACAATATAAATACAATTACTAATTAACAATTAGATTATGAGCTCGAGATTTCTATGATGTGATAGTTGATGAGGCCGCAGGCCTCATCAACTATCACATCATAGAAATCTCGAGCTCATAATCTAATTGTTTTAGTAAAAATCATAACAATTGTCTAGTATTAACTCTAAATCATCCACCGAAACTTCGTAGAAACGAAAAGAAACCGCAATTTTGTAGACGACCTCCAGCCACTGCACACTAATGGCTGATAGTGTACGAGTAGCTCAGCCAATCAGATTGTCTCATTTGCATTAGTATACTAGTAGATTTTTACTAACAATAAGTAAAAATCTACTGGTATACTAATGCAAATGAGACAATCTGATTGGCTGAGCTACTCGTATACTATCAGCCATTAGTGTGCAGTGGTTGGAGGTCGTCTACAAAATTGCGGTTTCTTCTCGTTTTGGAGGATAATTTGGAGTTAATACTAGACAATTGTTGTGATTTTTACTAAAACAATTAGATTATTCGCTCTCAATAGCACACTTGCACGACGTCGTCATTTGACTACAACTACCAGAGTTCATTTCGTTTATCCTTTATTATTTAAATGTTTAAATCCCATTGGGGTTTAAATAACAATGGCACTAATTAGCATGAGAAAAAGAAAAACTGAAGGATTCTGGTAGTTGTAGTCAAATGACGCCATCTTGCAAATCTCCTATTTCTATGATGTGATAGTTGATGAGGCCGTATCATAGAAATCTCGAGCTCATAATCTAATTGTTAAATAGAAAAACTATGACAAAGTTACAGCTACATAAGAATTATGTTTAAAAATTAAAAAAGTAGTTCATATAACTTGTGCTTGAACAATAAAAGTGATTTAACATTAAAAAAGTCAGAGTCTAGATTATTAAAATCGTTCGCGGCATGGCAAGTCAATTTATGTCTCTCCCAGTTTGTCCTAACTCTTGGGAGATGGAAATTTGGGCAGAGGAATATATAAGTTTGTCCTAGATAATCTTGTTGTACCTGCAGGGTAGCGTTGTGTTGTTGCTCGTACAGAACGCTTTTCAATCGAGTGTCGAAAGAAATCGCGGAATTCCTTTGCTTTTGCTCCATTACGCTCTGTGTGATTGGTTTAAAAAACTCGCACTACCTACTCGACCAATCAGATACAAAATCAAAGCCAATCACGACTTGGTCACACGCGTTTTCCCGCGCTTGGCGCCGGTTACATGTATTTGCTACGAGCTCTCATTGGTTCCTTGCGTTGTTTACGTTTGTTGTGATTGGCCATTGTAATTGGTTTGGTTTTACGACACGCAATTGAAAACCGCTCTAGCTAGCTAATTAAGCGTTCATATAATTTATTATCCTAATTACGGCCGGGAGTCATATGCGGGTTGAGTTTGCTGTTGGTTCTCATCCTTGCTCCGAGGGTTTTTACCGGGTACTCGGCTTGTCAGTCTCTTAAGACTGTTAAGTGTCACCCTCGTTAAACGATTGTTCTGCATCCTTTTTTTATTTATATAGTTTTATAAAACGCTGTGAACGTCCGAAAATGACCCCCTTCCCTCCGTGCCCCGAAAAATCCCCCAAATCTCAGGCGCAAAAACACCCCCCCCCCCCCCCCCCACTCCTTTCCCTCCTTCCCCCACCTGCCGTAAACTTCCGAAAATAAGCCTTCCCTATTATAAGCTTCCCCGGCCCGAAAATAAGATGTCCCCCAAATCTCAGGTGCAAAACGCCTTCCCCACAAACTCCGAACATATGAGATTTAACTTGGAAAGAACGATATAATTTATTTTGATTATGAACCCATATTTTGAATTTGTCGGTATCACGTATGTGATCTATATCTATGTTGAACAGCCACTCTGGGGGCAGAGTAAACTGGTCGTTGTAGAGAGATGGCCGTAAGTGAGATACGACTGTAGACAGACAATTTATAGATTTTAGTTGTTCACATGGCCACTGATTTGTAAGTGTTTACGCTGTTTGTGCTTAAGTTTTTAACATGTCAACAACAACAACAACAACAACAACAACAAGCTTTATTAAGTCTTGGGGTTAAAATACATAGA